GAACCAGCAAACCAATTTCAACCAATTTTGGCATATAGCATCTATGGGTGAAGGGGAACAAAAATTGTGAAATTCGTGACCCGGCCCCCCTGGGGCCTGAGGGGTGGGGCCAAAACCATCAAAATTAATGCAATCTTTAAAAATCTTCTTCTTTGCTCCTGGACATCAAGCAGTCAAACTGTTGGCATGATTGTAATAAGCATTGTCTACCAAAATTGTGAAATTCATGGCCCCAGGGTCAGGGGTTCTGGTGCTAGGGCGGGGCTATATAGATCATATAGTGAAAGTGCATTATTTCTTTGAAAATCTTCTTCTCTACTCCTGGTATTATTGAAACAAATTAAATACATAGTTATGATAAGCAAGGGTGACTCTTCCAAAATTGTGAAATTCATAGCCCCAGGGTCAGGGGTTCTGGTGCTAGGGTGGGGCTATATAGATCATATAATGAAAGTGCATTATTTCTTTGAAAATCTTCTTCTCTACTCCTGGGTATTATTAAAACAAATTGAATACATAGTTATGATAAGCAAGTGTGACTCTACCAAAATTGTGAAATTCATAGCCCCAGGATCAGGGGTTCTGGTGCTAGGGCGGGGCTATATAGATCGTATAGTGAAAGTGCATTATTTCTTTGAAAATCTTCTTCTCTACTCCTGGGTATTATTAAAACAAATTGAATACATAGTTATGATAAGCAAGGGTGACTCTACCAAAATTGTGAAATTCATAGCCCCGGGGTTAGGGGTTCTGGTGCTAGGGCGGGGCTATATAGATCATATAATGAAAGTACATTATTTCTTTGAAAATCTTCTTCTCTACTCCTGGGTATTATTTAAACAAAATAAATACATAGTTATGATAAGCAAGGGTGACTCTACCAAAATTGTGAAATTCATAGCCCCAGGGTCAGGGGTTCTGGTGCTAGGGTGGGGCTATATAGATCATATAGTGAAAGTACATTATTTCTTTGAAAATCTTCTTCTCTACTCCTGGGTATTATTGAAACAAATTAAATACATAGTTATGATAAGCAAGGGTGACTCTACCAAAATTGTGAAATTCATAGCCCCAGGGTCAGGGGTTCTGGTGCTAGGGCGGGGCTATATAGATCATATAGTGAAAGTGCATTATTTCTTTGAAAATCTTCTTCTCTTCTCCTGGGTATTATTTAAACAAATACATGGTTATGATAAGCAAGGATGCCTCTTCCAAAATTGTGAATTTCATGACCCCTGGATCAGAGGTTCTGATGTTAGGGTGGGGCTCTATTTATTATATAGTGAAAATGCATTAATGCTTTAAAAATCTTCTCTGCACCTGGGCATATCAGAGGCAAAAAGAGTAAAAGTTTTAATAAGGAAGGGTATTTTTTACCAGATTTTTGAACATAGGACCATTTGGTCAAGTGTTCTGGTCCAGGCCAGGGCTCTATTAATTTGTATTCTACTGAGGGGAGTTATTCCCCTTTGCCATTTACTTGTGATAATTAATTACTGTAAATAATGTACTTGAAAGGTTGATAGAATAAGAGAATTATGCAAGAATTTTTATTGTATAATACAAAAAGCACTTTCATAGTTTTAATGATCAGGTAGACTTGTAAGTAATAGATAAATAAAAATGAGACAAAAATAACTTGTCTTATTAAATGTTCATCAAAGACCAAGAGAGGCCAATGTAAGAGATTTCAACAAGGAATTAAAAGAGTACAGAAGCACTGATTGTTAGTTTATATACTGTCTAGTGAGAGTGATAAATGGGGAACAGATTAGAACCTAATTTATGAACTGTTAATGAATACTAGACTAATAATTTTGTTGATCCTGATCACCCTATTTCTCTTGCTTTTGGGCAACAAAGCTTCACCTTTCAGTTCATTTTATACTCTATGGATCCTCTAAATTCTTGTATTATACTCAGGTGACCGTTAAGGCTCTTGGGCCTCTTGTTTTGAAAATAATATGTCAGTTTTTCTAGATGCGACTGTAGTGTTAGCTTTTATCATCATATTTCACCTGTCGCTGCTTCATGTAAGATCGTAGGATTAATAATATCAGGAAAAAGAGGGTACTACTAAATAGAGAACCCTAGAGAACCTTAATGATTTTGAATTATTTATGGTCTGTAACTGAAATTTTTATGTATAAGATAACCAATATATAAAACTAAAACAAAATCAAATTTGAAACAAAAACATTTTGACACGTTTTATGCATAATTTTAACAGATTACTAATCTCTGAAGACTTTTATCATACCTTTCATGATATAAGTAATAAGAAATTATTTTTTTCATATGTTTTACATTAAAGCGAATGACTAAGAGTTATACATAACTTCAGAAATAATATTAGATAAAAAAGAATGTGAAAAAGAATTGTAAACTTATGTGATAAAATTATTATTTCAATAAACGCTTTTGAAATTCAATCGGGATCGGGATGACATAAAAAATATTTCGCCATCAATCCTGTTTACGTTTTTCAACTATTTTCGGCGGAAAACATTCATAAAATAACTTTATTATTGACTATATAGATAGAATATGATTTTTAAAGTAAAAAGCAACCCAATTATGCATAATATTTATTTGAATTCACCAAAATAACTTTGATTTCTCTAGGGTTCTCTAGAATTCTCTTTGGTTCTCTGTTTAGAAGGACCGGGAAAAAGAGGGTATACTTTTGGTAGCCATCATACTTTACCCGGATCGTCACTTCCGGTTTCGTGACTGTATTTACCATAGTATTCTATGAATATTGGATCAGATTCTATATTTTAGTTTGAGATGTTTTGTATTTTGAAGTATTAGTAATTCTTTTATTCTTAACGTAGATCTTACAATCAGTGAGCATAATTGGTACTGCATTTCATTACACTATCGTCGGAAGTTAAGATATTTATACGCTATACATTGTTTTCTGCTTAATATAACATATAGGGATGTTTTAAAATCATTAGCTAAGTTTCAAAGACACTATTCAAGATATCAAATAATAAACAGAAACATTAAATACATGTATGGTATTTTACAGGATTTTGGTATGAAAATTTGTTTTCAAATACAGGGTTTATATCTCTCAGTTGATTCGATACGCAAGAGCATGCTCTACGTATGTACAATTTCTAAAACAAGGTAAATTATTGACAAACAAGTTGATGAAACAAGAATATCAGCAGTGTCGTTTAAAGTCATCATTTCGTAAGTTCTATGGTCGATACAATGATAATTTCTGATAATTTATCATTATGCAAAATCTGTTTTCAGCTCCTATATTGCACCGTTAAGGGCAGTTCGGGTTGACATACTTATGCTCTGCTTGCAATAACAAAATTTGTAGTTATTTTTTTTTTTTATTATTTTTTATTTTATAGAGTTTCTTACTCTCTTTTTATGAATGAATAAAATATTAATATGGCCGGGGAAACTAGCGTTTGTCATGTCCGTCACACTTGGCGTTTAGCTCAGTTTCAAAAAAAATATTCAAGATATTTTTATCTAACTTCGTATGCTGATACAGACTAGTGAAAACTATTCAACTTAATCAACATTCTCTGACCTTGACCTTTACTTTGACTTTGACCTTTCCTTAAATTAGTGTTTAGCTCAGTTTCAAGGAAATCATGTACTATATTTTTATCAAACAATGTATGCTGATACATGCTGGTGAGAACCATTCAACTTTATCAACATTTATCTACATTTTTGGACATTGACTTTTTGCCTGACCTTGACTTCACTTTTTTTAATATTTGTGTTCAGCTAAGTTTCAATGAAACTCTTCAAGATACTTTTATAAAACTTCACACGCTGATGCATATTATTTTATGAGAGCTATTCAACTGCATCAAATTTTGACCTTGATTTTTCCTTTAATCTCACTTTTCTTAAATGATTATCTCAATTTCAAAGAAACTTAAGATATTTTTTATCAAACCTTATGTGTTATCCATATTGATGGGAGCTGTTCAACCGCATCAACATTTTTTGACCCTGGCCTTTCCTTTGACCTTGACCTCCCTTTTTTCAAATTTGTGTTAAGCTCAGTGTCATAGAAACTATTCAAGATGTTTTAACTTTATATGCTGATATATATTGGTGAGAGCTATACAACTACATCGACATTTTTAACCTTGGCCTTTCCTTTGAACTTGAAATCGAATTTATTTTTAGCTAAGTTTCAAAGACACTATTCAAGATATCAAATAATAAACAGAAACATTAAATACATGTATGGTATTTTACAGGATTTTGGTATGAAAATGTTTTAGACGTATAGTCAGCGATTCCATTTATCATAGAAACTTCGTCATCAAAGTTTAAACTACAGGGGGTATTTGAATTGCAATTAAACGTCGATCCGGTTGAAATAAGTATTGAAATTTGTGTGTGCAAATAATTTTGATTATCATTTCCTCCAGTTTTGCATTGCATTATCCCCTAGTATATAAAACGCTTTGCCAAAGCACATACTTAATGATTCATGTGTTCCACTATAACTTTTTTTTTTCTCTGTTTGTTGAGCCAGAATTGTTACGGATCGTGTTCCATCAGAACCAACGATGTTTCCTTCTTCTTGTTTTTTTTTTTAAACGTGGCAATTCGTAGATTGAGAGAGAACTTATTCATGAATAGTGTAACATGTTGTGAAACAAACTTATATTACTTGAATTTCAATAATTTTTTTTAAATAAATGTCAATTCACAATGGTCTTTTTAAAGTTCCATCTTAAATTATTTGGTTTTGCATAGGAACGATATAATACCGATAATTTAAAAAAGCAACTATCATTGCAATCATCGCAATCGCTCTAAATTATTCAGTAGAAGAAACAATATGCTTAACCCTGTATATGTGCGTAAAGATAACTAGTATTTAACGCGTGCATCATAGCTAATAAGCCAACCAATGATTTAGCGCGCTTGAAATCCTACGCTATTCTTGTGGTTATTAAAATCAAAATGACGGTGATTTTCAACAGAGGCCAAAGAACTAACAGTTTCGAGAGGGGATAAAAAGTTATAAGATGAAATATTTGATTTCCTATTTGACAGGGATTTTACTGGTATCAGTACTGTCTTTAGCTGCACACGCTTCCAATTCTAACGATTCCTTGGTGCTTCTTACTAAAACGCTAGATGCTATAGAGTTTGCACTCAATTATTTTCACCAGGAGCATCCTAATCTCAATCTAGATGCTGTTATTGGAACAAGAATGGTTGAAGGTAAGTTTATCTTTGTTTTGATCTGTTTTGCAGATATGATATTTTTCCAGACATGTTTGTTAATTTATTAAGACATACATTAATTTATAAGTGTTTATATTTGTTACATAAATAGATAATTATATTCATATTGGAAACTTCGGTCTAAATGATGTAAGTCTACCTGTATTTTCTATAGTAGTAAAATATCACATTCAGTACGAATGCTAGTTAAGACGATATAAATCTACATGTATTTTAAAATGTCGATTGGAAATCCGTTAGATCTTGTGTAAGTCATTCAAAATGCTTTAGGTTAGTTTTTACCAAATTGCTGAAAACGAACCTCACTTACTTAAAAGAACCCATTTAATCCAATATTTGCATTAGATTAATGAATTTGTTAAGGTGGAGCCGTGATCACAGACAATAGAATCGATGATCTCAAAAAATATATTTAAAAAAAAAATAGAAAATGCTCTAATACTGTAATTTACCTCAAGAATATTCCGAATTTTCTTTGTTTTAGAAAGTGATTAACAATAAATATTATTTTCCTGTTTCTTCTAAAAAAAATCTGTTTGTCGACATTTACATTGTATATCATAGGGTAAACCAGTCATTTGTGTGCAGGTAAATTTTTGATGGCGTGTTACTGTACGGTACTCTCAAAAGAAACTAATCTGTGACAAAATAATAATTATACTAATAGAGCTAAATGCGATTTCAAAGGACGAATGGAAAATATGCCTAAAAATTGTAGATGATACCTATCACAATGGTTCAACTATGAATATCGTCTACTGAACATCATTCCAATATGATTAAGTGTTTAATTTTTGGTAGTTTTGGTAGAAATATCCAACCAATGACGATAACGCTTTTGCAAGAATTAACAGCACGTGGCAAATAGCTAGGTTCACTTTCTGCATAAAATGGCCCTGTTCTTGTATCAATTAATTGACTATGGCCTTCTGTCCCATTTCATATATCAAAATAAAGAGACTTAGCGCTCTCATTTCCTATGAAAATTTCTTTTGGAGAATTCAGGTATTGGAAAACAGGCTTTGTGAAAATGCTACGTTCTTGAATTTTGCAGAAAACAGGCATATTTGACTATATTCAGCAAAGAATTAAAATATGAGCACAGCCCTCGATCCAAAAATTGAAACATGTTTTATGATCTTAAGAAACAGACCTTTCATTATGTAATTGCATATTTTGGATCAGAGGTTGTGCTCTATATGAAATATTGAAAAAATTCTCCAACTTTTGGCCATTTTTTTTAAGGAATTTACAGGATATGGTAAAAAGTGACGCATTTCATGACGTCATAATGTATTGACTATGGAGAAAATTACGTCATGTTCAATAGATACTCGGTCACCAAGGTGATAAATAGTGATAAGTGATAAATATAGGATCTCCCATGATTTGTAGTTGGATATGATTTTTATCCAACGAGTTGTGTGTTTTTTATCCCCGAGCCTTGGCGAGGGGATAAAAACACACAACGAGTTGGACAAAAGTCATATCCAACTACAAATCATGGGAGATTCTTTTTATCCCATGTTTAATACTTCACAACCAATGTTTTACACTGTTTTATATAGGACTCCACTTTATTTTACTTCATCGCGCTAACTCAAAAACCATTGTGACGTCACAACTGTGGATTATGAAAAATTTATCCAATGAGTCATATCCACGGGATAAAGGGGTAAACATGGGATAAATAGGCCTACTGCATTGTCAAACAAAACTGAGCAGTTTCGGTTTTTCATAAACTCACACGGCCAAAAAAGGCCCTACTGGCCCTTGCTCTTTGAAAACTAATATTAAAAATATGATACAATGACAAAATATTTTATGGAGCTATACAAAATACCAGAGACATAATCTATTAATTGTCTCTGAAAATACCAAGGAGATAGGTGAACAAGGCGTGCAGAATGCTTTTAGCTTCAGATGCATGCATATAAAAATCATAATATATATAACGTTTTCAAATCCTAAAGATAAGGTTTTATAGGCATCCCATTCAATTCAAAATTGAAAAACCTTGTGAAAACGAAAAATGTTTATCTATAAATTGACTTATAAAACTGTAGGCTAAAGTAAGCAATGAAACAAAATTATTGTATTCTTTTTGTATTTCAAATAGGACAATTTAAAGTTCTGCTCAAAAAACTAAATTCCCGACCCGAAAATGATGCGAACAAAATTTGGAACCCAACGATTGCAAGAATAGAGAGGTTGCAGAAGGTTGCTGGGCTCGTTAGTGAAGAAGCGCTGCCCTATATAGCGGCCTTTACTCCACAATATTATAACGGTATGTCTATATATGATATCATTTCGCTACTTCATATAATATGCATAACTTTGATACAACGAGACTTCTCAAAGTAAAGACATTCTTCAGAACATATGTACTTTTAAACATACCCGAGTAGTGAGCGTTCTGATCAAAGTTTAATTCTGTATTTTTTCATTATCGATTTCTCAAAACTTATCAGTCTATCAACATAATTAAAACATCAAAGTAGAGGAACACTTGTTCATTTTATTTCAAGTCAACGATTAAAGATAAAATGAATATAATTTTAAAAAATTCTCGAAAGCCTAAATGACAAAACATACATGTTAAAGCCTCTTCAGATATGTACACAATCACAGACATAATGGGGAACATTGATTCTTATATACAGTAAATCTCTACCAACTTGTTTTACTAATTACTACAGGTAAGTTAAAACTTAATGGAATGGTGCAGAATATTTCCATGTAACGAAGACTGAAGAACACTAGTATATGAATCTTAAACTGGCCCCTGCATCATATGGTACCATTTGTACTATTGAGAGAGTTTATAACGGCAGTTTGCCTGCTTTCCATATAGCCTAATGAAAAATTGTTTTAATCAATGCAATACCATGCTAGAGATCTGAAGTTGGGATGTAATGGTATAAAAGATTAAAAAAAAAAAGTACAGATGCATGTGAACTGAAGAATCGCCAAGTACAAATGTCATACATGTACAAATGTCATATTGTGCTGTAGATAAACAAACAGAAATAGTGGCGGCCGGTTAAACTTTTGGCAATAATATTATGGCTTCTTTTTATCCATTATAAATTCACCTTACGTTATTATGTCTTTAAATACATTTAAAAAAGATGAGTGCCGTGGCCCATGGCCTTTTATAAGGATACTTTTATTTAGAATAACGACCTAAAAATAACTAATACTCTAACATTTGAATAGGGAATTTCTGTACCTATATTACAAGAAAATATTGAAGTACAGTAAGTTTTGTTATGAACTTCAACCACATCAATCGGCCAAAAAAGCAACCAAAAAATTAACAGACTGAATCTAAAGAGTAAAACAGATGAAATCTTATGGTATTTGGTGCCATTTCATAGTTCAGAAAATCGCTATTTTATAGTTTCAACATATATCGTTGAATGAATCAGAAAGATAATAGATGGTTTCTAAAGAGAAAGATTTCCCAAGGCGAATGTGAGGAAAGTAAGTGGTCAAGGGGGCCAATCTAGAATCTTGCCAACTCCCTATATTGTATCTATACATGCATTATCTATTTTGTGAGATTGCTACAAAAATCAATTCCAACAATTAATTCGTATTCTCCTTCAATAGAAGAATTTAAAACGAGGCCCTATATTTGAAGGACTTACTTGTACGCAATATCTATGGCAAATTATACCATTCCTCTTCAGAAAAATATGCCGTCAAAATTTTGAAATGTAGAATTCCTTAACTTTGCCAAATTTCTAATTACATCTCAGTGTGATGTTTTGTTTCGATTTTTCATTTGTTATTTTGCTTCTCTAATTAACAGTTTCAGAATTGTTTAAACAGAAAATTATTTATATAATTGACGTTTAATGGCGTTAATTGTCACATTTGTGCGGATTGTCTCCTAAAAGTTAAGACCTTTTCTGGTTTAAATTCTTCTTTCTCTCCCTGTGGTAACGATGGTATAAAAGGTTCTATCTTTCTAACATAACAGGAACTTTAAAAAAAAAATCGACGAAAAAGCATTATGTTTTCCTTTTTTGTCGCGGGAATGCAATTTTTTCCCCGCGGAAAAGTGGAACAGTGATATTTTGATATTCAACTACAGACGCTTCCGAACGTACCCGAAAATCCGACGAGCATCGATGACATTGATCCGTGCCTTAACACATTTACATTTATAGCTAAATAAGAAAAACCAGTTTTATTTATTATGCTTTCAAATTTCAATTGATGGCAACATCAAGTTTTCTTGCTGATATTGTTCTGATTCCTTTTTAGAGATAGGTCCAGTTATACAAGGAGGATTCTGGGAAATGGACTATCCAAGTCGGGATTTTGATCCCGATGTTAAAGTTTGGCAATATCGAGAAGGAGAATCCCTAAGGGAACAAAAATCAGATGATTGTTTAGCAGAGTTCTTTGGAACAGGGTTAGTTTAAGCAAAATTGGCATTATGTGTGGAATTTAATTTTTCTAGGATGGTCCATCTGCTGTTTCAGAACAGCCACTTGAAATGTTACATTCGGAAAGGTAAATTAAAAAAGATAATTTCAATAGACTCAAATTTTGTCATTTACTTTTGAAAAGTTTTAAGCTTTCAAAAAATATATTGTTAAGATTACAGTTGATACTTACACTAATATTATAGTTTTTCCTAGCCATTTCTGTTTTTAATGGCGTTTGGTGGTAATTCTTTGACCAAAGCCTATTTCTACTGCATTTGAAATCTTGTAAAGTCACCTCTGTAATCTTTTTCAGTCAACATATATTTTTAGAAACATTAATGCATTAACAGCTTTTGTTGTTTTCAAAGATTCACCGTTCTCAAGATTTTAACAAAAACCTTGTCAACTTTAGGCTGATACTTAAGCAATACCTTGCTTTACTCTGTGACTGGTGAGGTGTTGTGATTTTATGAGCAAAGCTTCTGTTTCCGTTAAGTCAATTAATTTTTATGGTATTGCTTCTTTGTGCTAATGAAATCAGCCTTCGTGGTCATAAAGTGAAATCAAGGGATCCGAGATAACAAAATACGTGTCAACGCTATCCTGTTTGGGCATTCCAGAAACGTTTCGGGATAAGAATAAGGGTTTACCCGTAATCCTTTTAAAAATGCTTTCGTCGCCAATTCGACCCAAAACCACAAAACATAAAATCTGGATTCGCTGATTGCTTCCGATAATTGAAGCCATCTACCAATTAAATTGTCGTCAAAATCTATTAAAGTGTCACAAAATAGTTTCCCTGTTTGATTGTAAAAGCTTTTAGGTGTTAAATATAACTTTTTTCACATTTTTTCTGCATTTTAGAAAGAAATCAAAAGAGCACTGCAGAATATCTGACGAATGCTGGGATTTTATGACGTCACCAGGATACAATTCTTACTCACTGTCTCATCAGGTCCTTTACCTGGAAATAGGAAGACAGGTAACTTCCTTCTCTGGAAGGAATTAATGTGTTAACTAAAAGACGTATGATTGCATGTACATTATATGTTAAACGTGTAAAAGTGCAAAAGTACAGAAAGTCAAATTGGAAGAATGATTACCTTATATGGTTAACATGTAAAATCGTGATCATTTATTGGGAAAGTAATGTCTTTGATTTAAAATTAATGACCTTTTAAATGAATCAGCTCCAAGAATATTATTGAGTATGAATATCTATAAATTTGCAGTTTGGGTGCTACGCACAAATGTTGCTGAAAAATTTACTCAAACACCAAAAACCAATTAACGAATTACAGGAAGAATTCTGTAAAAACATGTTGAATGAAGCAGTTATCATTGCGAAAAACGGGTTTCCACAACGAAAACAAGATCTTTTTATGGAGCAAGGTAGTATTGCAGACTTGATAAATTGTTTCTAAACATCATCAACAAAAAAGCTATCGCACTTTTGCAACAGTTGCTACTACATGTAATTGAATGTCCAACGTTCTATAAATCACTGGTCCATGTTAGGTAAGGCGCACTTTGTACAAGGCAGTACTTTTAAGGCTGCAGATATTGGTAAAACTAATACTCTTTATTTTTCCGAGATAGGGGAGCATGTAATAAAAAAAGGATGAAGTGAGATTTTTATAGTACATAGGATAAAGCTATTTTATGGGCAATAAATCCTTGGACAGATTTGCATAATAAAATAACAGTTCTGTGACCAAACTAATTATGAGTATTCTGTCGATTTTAGGTCCAATTTGAAAAAAAAAACAAACAACAACATATTTTTACTTCTCGACTGTATATTTAGAAATTATTAATACTTCGTTTTCTTTTACACCATCTAATGTTTTTTTTAACATATTTATTTATTTATTATTCGCGATTCACTTAAAAAAATGCATGGCTATATAATTGCTTGGTATTCAATGTGAAATATGAAGCATGAAATTAAAAAAAAAAAAGGGATTGCTAATGACAATATTTTTTCTCTGCCATTGCTCATGACAATTTTAATGATATTATAAATCTTGAAAACCATGAAAAGAAATCATTTGGATGTTTTCCAGCCGCCTTATGTGGTATCCTTGGATACAGAGAATTCTTCACCTCTGATTGGTTAACACCAATCCTCAGTTGGCAGGATGAATTGTACGGATGTTATAAAGGAGAATTAGTATTCGAGTCCGAAGTCAGTAAGTGGACTTAAAATGTCCTTTATTTCACAACATAAATAAAATAGACAGTTTTTAGGGAGGGATATACATAGTATGACCTCATTGTAATGTGGCTGAAATATTAACCACCGGTAAATAAGTTTTAAAAATTTAGAGTGTCTAAACACAGAATATAGATTTAGATGAAATCATACAATCAAACTGCAGTTTAGCCCAATAATAGAGTTAATGAGGCATGCATTGAGTTAGGAAAAATGCCTGTACTTTTATTATAGAAACCATAAAACCCCGGGATATGCAAGGATATCCTGAGAGTGTTTGTTTTGCGTTACTGTTTTCAACGCAAAAAATAATAATAATAAAATCTTTGAATTATATGTTTCATCAACAATCCTACAATTTTTTTTTAAATGAATATCCCCCAGCAAGTAAATGTAAATCGAATTATAAACATATTTCTCTCCAAAATACTACATGTAATAGGAAATTCATTTCTTGTGTATTGTTATATATGATGTACAAGTATTTAACCTCAAGTAAATCGGTACATGGAAAGAAATGTAATTTTAAAACTTCTATGTTTTAAAATACCCCCAGTATCATGTAGACCAGCTTAAAAAAATATTTGTCAAAAAACTTTCCGATTCTTTTGACCCCCCCCCCCCCCTTTCTCATCAAATTACATGTAGCACGCGCTTATAGTAACTTAAATTGATAATTAAGTTTGGTGACTTGGATAGATAAATCTTTTTTGTCAATGAGTCTGCTCAAGTCCGTAAATAGATGTACTACAAGTATTTCCTGATAAAGAACATCGCTCGTTCATCCATAGAAGAAAAAAAATCCTTAAAATCCTTAAAATCTAACTCTATGATTGTCAAAGATGTCGATTTTCATTAAGATTTCTAACGTGCTATTTCAGAATTGAACGATTCCTTAATGGATTTGATGCGTATTTAGCTCTATAAAGAATCCCTTCTTAATGAAGTTACAAAGAAAATAAGTTCTATGATTTCAGGGCTTAACGTGGATCTTCAATCAGCGGTAATAACAGTCTACATGTTGACGTTTAGAGGAAAATACATTAATAATTTTGCACGCAATCTGTTATTATTCCAATTTCACATCTGAAAAGGCTGTTTTCAAAATCAGATGTTTCATTTTTGATTTAGGCAAAATTGGAGAGGACATACAATTGAATTTAAGATAATGTGTAAAAGGGAACGTCTAGTTTATAGTTGTTCGAAATATTGAATTAAGACTTCGACAAATAAACGAGACGATTTTGTTCTCTCTCTCTCTCTCTCTCTCTCTCTCTCTATAAGGATAAACTAACAGTGAAAGTACCCGGTACATAGCAAACAACTTACTCCTTGGTTATATAGCAGTTAATGTGCAAAATAATGTTTTAAGTAGAAATGTTGGTGCTGCGGTCACAACTAAATCATTGCACGACATAACAATGCAATGTGATCATTTTCACCTCAATTGACAAATTGAAATTTTGCCCTTATTCTGGACATACTCCGGTCCGATTTGTTGACCACAATGACCACTGTATACATTATATAGTTCCTTTTCTCTTAATCATACTTGACAATGGTATTCCAGCTGGGGAAGAATTAGCATCGATGCCCAAGTTATGAACCCTCAACTCTTGGAATTTGATAAAGAAAATCGTATAAAATCCTTGCTACTTCATATAGGGTCATCCTGGGAATGTATTGCTTCCTTGGCAGTGACATATCATGTCTTACAGTGCCCTTTCTGGAGAAGTCAGTGCTACTTGATAGTCAAGATGCTTCGACTTCTGTAACATGTATCGGGCTGTTTGATAACAAGTTGGAGGGTCTGATCTATTCCCATAGCATCAACGAATAACTAAGAAAGAATTTTTCCTAGATCACCATCGCTTTGTGTGGACATATATATGAGATGCGGTAGTATATTAATAAAAAATGTGTGTAGTGAAAAATAATTTTTTACTCAAAAACATTAAAAATCAATGGATTTAAAAAAAAAAAAAAAAAAAACGAAATACAAGGGGAAAAGAGAATCACAAAATAAAAATATCTTAATTTCGTCTTTTCACAAAATCAATTGAATTATATTATTCAAAATCAATTTCCAATAGCTACATTTATATTATTATATTAAAAAAAAGACTAACAGTATACTTTTTTTGAAGAGACTTCTTATTTTGTGTTTGGCAAAAGAAAAAACTCCGCTATCTTGTATGTTTTACCACATAATTTCAGTTTAAAGGAACTTGCGTCAATTGACATATATTCTGATAGAATATGCAAGAAGTTAGAAAAAATTAAATTCTTTCACATGTGCGAGGAAAATGCCATAATAGATGAAAAATCTGCACTTCATATTGTGTGACAATTTTTCCCAGACACGTTCTGCAATAAATAATTTATGAGTGAATTGGTTAAAAACGCGACAATATATTCATAATTGGGTTATTTCATGACAAATCTAATATGAAAAACAAAACGTGTAAATTTTCGTTCACCATATTTCGTGCAGTTCAGTTCTTAACGCACAGGGTGTAAACATGTCTTCATATTTTTCGACTTTGATTTATCGAGCTTGGTGCTTTTGTTTTTTAATCTGTGTTTTCATGTGCGTATTTAGGTCCATAAGTGCTTTCTGATCATCGCTTATAGTTGTGGAAATTCTATGGAGAACAAGACAAGGGACGTTTTTGTCAACTTGATCTCTGTGGTTTGATATTAGAAATCATTACGGTACTTAATCGCAAAAAAAGACCAACAAATGATTTTCCAAGAAGACATTGTTGTCAATATATCATATTTCTCGTTTCATGTTTTTAATTTTCCACTCATTTATAGATTTTGTGCTATGAGGTACTGCTTTCATTAGAAGACCCCGATTTGTTAGAATAAGACAAACATGATTATGCTACGGTATCTTGTAAGTTTTTGAATTAAGCTCTTATTTCACAAGAACCATTTCAAAACAGTTAAACACAAAATGATCTAAAGATACCGACGTCACTGCCATTTTGTGATATTAATCTTTGTTGTGAAAGACTAATGACATTACTGTCGGAGTCCTTTTATATAAAAATTGCGTCCCATTGAAATCATGAGTCATTAGGTCACCTGAGTCACTCAGGTTGCAATCTTTTTTTGTCCGTTGTCGTGCGTCGTCAGTCGTCCGCCGTGTGTTAATATTTGAAAATTTTCAGCTTCTTTTCTAAAAACCGCTGAACCAATTTCAGCCAATTTTAGCATATGACATTTTTGGGTAAAGGGGAACAAAACTTGTGAATTTCATGATCCCCGCCCCTCTGGGTCTGAAGAGTGGGGCTAAAACCATCAAATTTGATGCAATCTTGAAAACCTTGAAAATTAAAAATTTTCTTCTCTGCTCCTGGATATTAAGCAGATAAATTAAGTGCACGATTATGATTTCCAAGGACGACTCTTTCGAAATTGTGAAATTCATTGCCCCCTGGTCAGGGGTTCTCGTGTTAGTGCGGGGTTCTGTTGATTATTTAGGGAGAATGCATAAATTCTTTGAAAATCTTGCTCCTGTGTATTAAGCAATCAAAGTGAGTAAATGATTATAATGAGCAAAGATTTCTTTTCCAAAAGTTTGAAATTCATGGCCCATAGGTTAGGGATTCTTGTGTATTAGGGTCTCTTGTTAGGGTCAACAGCTCTATTGATTGTATATTGAAAATTCATTTTTGTTGAAAATCTTCTTCTCTGCCCCTGGGTTCTTAGCAAACAAAGTAAGTGCATGGTTATATTGAACAAGGATGCCTCTTCTGAAATTGTGAAATTCATGGCCGCAGGGTTAGGGGTTCTAGTCTTGTGGGGGGTATAGAAAGTATAGTGACAATGCATTATTTCATTCAAAATTTTCCTCTATGCTCCTGGGTATTAAGCAGATAAACTTATAGTACATGGTTATGATAAACAATGAATCCTCTTTCAAAATAGGTGAATTCATGGCTACACTAGTTTCCTGATATTGGTTAACGGGCGCCCTGAAAAACCTTGTAATTTTTAGTGGCATGCGCAGCGACTAGAATCAAGGACAGAGAACCAGACTGAGCTAATTCATTGCCCCATGGTCAGAGTTTTAGGTTGGGGCTCTATTGATTATTCAGTGAAAATGCGAAAAATCTTTGAAAATCTTAGTTTTTAATGAACAGGGTGGGTTTTTTTAATCTAGATTTGTGAAATTATTGACCATTGGCTGAAGTGTTCTGATGCTGGACAGGGCTCTGTTGATATTGCAGGGAACTCTACTGAGAGAATTTATTCCCCTATGATATTTACTCATTATAATTAATTACAGTAAATAATGTAATAGATAGGTCAATTTTGTTGTATTATGCTCAGGTAATCGGTAAGACCCATTGGTCTCTTGTATTATTTATATATATGTTAAGCTTCCTCCCCATGTTAAAGCATATAATTATGCGAACCATCAAATACGATTGTAGCGAATTTTTTCATGATGAAAAGTTGAATGTGTAACAAGACAAGTACTTTCAGTCGTTTTATTTTTAAACTCTTATTTATTAGGTACATGTTATCTGAATAATTCAAAAAGAACGAATAATATTGTAAACTACTACAACAGGCATCGAGTATTTCTTAAGAAAAATAAAAGTTATGTTAAATCGGTAGTTCTAAATGAAAAGGATGGCAATAAATGCTAATTTCCAGCATGACCTGCTTGTAATTTTATTTTCCATAAATTTTTTATTCACAATTCGTTAAACTATTTTTGTCTTGTGAGGGAAGTTTCCGAGCATTCTGATATTATCCATAAGCAATACTAGTCCGTATATAATACAACATGTATAGTCCGATACTAGTATCCTTAAAATTCAATTGGCCATAATTCCGTCAGTAATCATTGAAGGGAAACGAAATTCAAACCTCAAGGTAGACTCACATACCAAAAATTAAACTTGAATATCTTGATTATCAGACATGGGAAAATGGTGGGAAACCAATTAAGTGGAACAAACTGACTGATAGAAACAGAAGTAGATGCTATTTAAAGTCCACCACGGTTTCACCGTTAGAGGACGAAAGATCGTAGCGGCTATTTAGCTCTACAGAGAGCTAATTAATGATAGCATAGGAACTGCGAAGGGACGAATAGTGAATTCATACAATGCGTTCAATAGAGCTACATGTAGATATTTAACCTTGAGGCTAGTCTAGCTGCTACAACCTTGAACGCAGCCTTGGCCTGCGTTCAAGGTTGTAGCAGCTAAGTGATAGATATTTAGTTCTACTGAACTTATAGTTCGCCAAGCCGCTAGGATTTAGATTTTGGATACGAATATTTAGTTATAACTAATATTAGATGAAAGCAAACTGAACTCAAACGAAAATGCGTATGTAAATTTTTAATTTCCTTAGACGGAGAAAACAATCCCACTCTGATGAGTAATTAGTGTGTTTCGAAACGGTAGTTAAGGAAACTGTGACTGTCTTAGATTTGGTACCTAGCACTAAGCTTTCCCTTTATATATATATTACAATTTATTTATATGAAGAGGATCGAAATGCAAACTTGATCTTTAACTCATCAAGGTAGACTAACATACCCAAAATTTCTATTAGACTAACATACCCAAAAATAGCTCAGTATCTGCAAGCGTGTAGAAGAAAAGCTGGAAAATCAAGTGGGACAAAATGACTGACAGAGAGACAGACAGAGGGGAAATCGCTTTCACTGAAAAGGGACTAATTAAAATAATAATGTGATATATCAATTTTTGAGCATTTTCTTCGTCTCTTTCTAGAACTTCGTCCTGGAGTAAATAATCGTCGGAAGCGAGAGGAGCGCCCCCTGGACCATGGTTGCCTGTGTCACAGAACGACAGTTGCCCTGGCTGCGTTAGGTCAATATGTTCGGTACATCTCAGAATACATCCAACTCTTGGAGACCATGCCACAGTGAAACAACTTAAATGGTGTCAACCCCACTGAACATCATTCAAAACTCCATGAATTGCGAATTAACTGCAGATGCTCAAATTTTATAATTTTTGCATGATGATATTAAAAACTATGATACACTTATATTATAACCTTATGCAGAGACGGTGCAATACCACACTCAACAAAATCGTAAAGTCTTACTCTAGCAGCAGTTGGTACACAGATTACCATCAATGTATATAGAAAAAAATTCTCAGAAAATGTAATATTAAAATATGATAAAAGAAAATGGACCTTTTCAGCATAAGAAGTTAATTTAGAAACAAAACACAGAGCTTTTAATACCCATAAATAGTATACACCTATTTACTGACTATGAGGACAAAACCAAGTTTATTGTACCCCAAGACTGCATATATTTCCCGAGACACAGCCGAGGGAAATAAGTACTGTGGAATTATTAGATTTTATGGTGGCTCAATATTCGTGGAATTTGTGGGTACCCATAATCCACGAATTTACATCTTCCACGAATTGATACACTAGGATTTCAAAGTTGTATTTCCTTGTGTACATATGTGTGAATAACGAAATTATGTCTCCAGGAACCTGTCAAATTTAAGCAATCTACGAAAATTGGCCCCCACTAATTTTGATGATTCCACTGTAGTTGCTGTCGAGAGGGAAAATAAACTTGCTATTGTCCGAATAGTCAGTAAATAGGTGTTTTATTATACCAAAGCAGACTTTACTTGTGTCACATGACGATCCGGATAAAACCAGATGAGTTCCAAGATAACAGGCGAGGGAAATGGAATGCTGCAGATGAATAGTTTTTAGATAGAATTTAACCATGGGCAAATAGCACAAAAACTATTCCACGATAGAGGTTGTTTAGAGAAAATAGTTGGTTTATTCATCATAATTTTATTTAGAAAAAATTATACAGAGGTATAATAATTACAATTTTGTAATTTCATTCAATAGATGATAAAAATGCCTTAGATTAACTTAAATATAAGAAGATGCATCAATGCATAGTCTATGTTTCATTATTAGGGCCAAAGAAATTGTTTGCCACATTTTTCATCTTTATTTCATAATGAAAATGTAATTATACAATTAATGAATTTGAATTCATAAATAAAAATTAAATATATATAGGTACGAGTAAGTAGAGAGCAAAAGTGAACAAGAGATTCAATAAATGCTATCCAAACTTCTTACAATAATAACATTCAACTTTGAAATATTTTAAGATTTTTTTTCAGTATTTTTTTTAAATTTTGGTAAGTACATGTATAACTAACTAATAAAATGTTCCTCTGATAGAATTTGCAGCATTGGTACAGGTACCTAACAACCTGTGAATTCTCTGGCGAACAGACAGCATTTTGATAATCTAATTTGTTCAGATAATACAAATTTGCTTTAGGACTTGGTAATATTAGTCTCTCAGTCATAACCATAAAAGAATAAATGATTATTAGAATCAATATCTTGAATCAGAAAACGTCAGCTGTCACCTTATATTGAACTTCCTAAAGAACACATCGGTTACTATTTTTACCCATAATACAAAGGTATATCAATGAGGGATGATTTTCTGGAAGGGTGAATTTCTAAAAAAAATTTAACAAAAACTTGACCATTGATCTAAATGTTTGATTTGTAACTTTTGCTGGGACCTCTCAGCTATATAACGATAATAAAAATGCATACTGGCAAAACTGTCTTTGTTGTATTTTACTGTAAGCACTCATTTTCTTTGAGGATCCAGTTTTGCATTCTTTCACGCCCCATTTTCAAAAATATGATAGAAACACTAAATGATGCTCAGTTTTAATGAATAAATATTTCTAAACTTCCCAAATTTGTCTTAATTCCTTAGATTTTCAGTGTTTAACTTAAACACTAGTAATAATGTTTCAAGCTAACAACGCTGAGATTTCTCATTCGACAATAAAATTAGAAAAAGATATGGTAATACCCAGGTCATTTAAACAAAGTCATAGATATAGAATTATGTTCCACTGTATAACTTTGCATTAAAAGTGGCTGGAGGCTCAAACTTGGAACAAAGGTAGATTATGATCAGAGGCTCTTATTCACATTCATTTGGATTCGTCTGAGATCACCCATGGGTATCCGACGATGACCTGGCTCAGGACATGCAAAGGAACAATAAAAAAATCAGGGTTGTAGGGTACAACTAAGTGGTGCCGGGGGTCAGGGGCATATTTCAAGCATTTATTTCTCCAAAATCTTTTATCACCAGAAGAAATCCGAACACTGGGGAAGGTAGGGGACATTGGGGAGTATCCCTTTATCAGCTTTGGGAGTGGTCTTTGGTACTTATACAGGGGCATTTTTAAGATAGGAGTGAAAGATCGACTAGTATTACCCTTTCTTTGAAGTGTGCATAAAAAAATGATGGGGCAGTGTTAGGGTACTATCATTCCCAACTCTCAGACTGGGGTTGTAAGGATACCATCAAGTAGTCCCTGGGTCGGGTGCGATTTTCAAGCATCTATTTTTTCGCCTTGTTTCGTCACCAGAAAAAAAACAATACTGAGGAAGGGTAAAACCCAGTCACATTTCCAAAAACGACAAACGGCGGACAGTTTTTGAGGAATAGGATTCTTCGGGCGACTGTCGGCTGTTCATCGGCCGTTGTCTTGCCCGATTTGACCTCTTTTTTCGTGGGCGGACCAATTTTTTTTTTCTGCATCGGTGGCCGATTCCTTCAATTGGAGCAGTCGTTGAATAGTCCGTCGACCAACCTTCGATCATCGTCCGACCATCGGCAGACCGTTCGTAAAGTAAGTCGTCGGTCGGTCGACATATAGGAAATGGGTTTTCGTAAATGTCGGCCGACGGTGAAAAATCAAACTACGGCTTAGCGTACGATAATCTGACGAGTGTTGGTCGACTTACAATTATTTAATTTTTGAAAATTATCGGTGTTCTTTTAAAAGAATTAATGTGACTGCTCCGCGTCGCCCGATACCAGTGTCGGCCGGTTATGTTTTTCAGCCGACAATACGAGGAAATTTGGCCACCCGACCATCGGAATAAATGAGAGCTAGGTATAAGGAACCTTAAAGAGTACCCCCTGTGAGCTTTGAGAGGAGTATGTAGGACTTGACAGTGCCAGGTAGCTCACCCAGACTTTGTCTTTTTCACACTGCAAAGTAAGATAGGGGTTAAAGATTGAAGTGTGCATCAAACGATTACTGGGGTAAGATAAGAGATCCCACAGTGGCCAAGCTAGCAAAAAATGTTGTATGCAAACATAGGCAAGGGTCTGGGTCGACCTTGAGGCCCACAGCGGGTTCTGGGCATGCAGGACCCTGGTTAAGGGCCCAGGAAAGAGCCCCAGGAAGCTCCTGAAATGTCACATTTTCTATTTTTTTATTATAGTAATTTTACTATATATGAAGAAAAAAGCCGAGTTTTGACAGAATCCACAAAATGTTTCATTTTCAACAGTGAAATACTGCAAATCATACAAGAATCATCCATTGAATAAAAGTGATATTTTCACAGGTGTTATTTTTACAATCAGAAATACAAAGTACTACATGGCAGCACAAGTTCGCCTCTTTTTGAAACTCAATTTTCCAAAAAAATATCAAAATAAATATTCATATTTTAATGTTCAAAATACCATTAAAGTTTAAATTAATTAAAGTGGGCTATTTCTTCAAATTTACCGAGCCCTTTATTTCATTTTAATTTTTTCATTTAAAATGCACCTTCATGTACCTTAATCGCAAAATTGTTTTGAATATTAATAGAGAGACAGTTAGAAGAGAATAGAAACAAAATAATAAAAAATAAATAAAAATCATAAACAGAAAAATCAATGTTTGATATGAAATATATTTCACAAGAGAGTTTTTTATCTTAAAAATTCATAATTTCAGGAGTGCGATATCCATTTACAAACATCAAATGTTCATTTAAAATGCTATTAAATTTTCAATTATTGATGGTTTTTAAAATGAAGTACTCGTGCAGCGCAGTAAATTTGTGTTTTAAAATCACTAGGGGAATTTATAGTTTATATAATTGCTTTAATTTTAAGGTTTTTTTAACATATAAAAAGAGAAAACTCTATCAAAAATTCATTAAAAAGTTGAAAATTTTGTGGTTAATATGTATGAATAAAATAAATCTGGAAAGCGTAAGTCTCCCCCCCCCCCCTCCCCCCAATTTCATGTATTTGTATCACTTTTATCTATAATTGGACTTTTGAAATAATTTGTTGTTGAAAATCTGTGTATACATTTTCGTTGTTGCATAAAGGGCGCTACGCCATCGTCCATAGGGTTATCATTTCCTACAGATTATGGCTGTAGGGGTACCGTCCATTAAGTGATGCCAGAGTTGGGACCATATTTTGAGCGTTTATTTCTCAATCATTTTGGCCACCACTTTAATTACCTCCAAGTGTGTCATTCTTCATGCTGATTAGTTCTGCATTCATTAGCTTGTCATCAACCGATGATTAAACTTCAGTCTGGCAAAATGAAAGGTATCTTAGCATTATTTGTGGTTTTTAATATTGTTTAAGGACATACGCAACGTAGTTTGAACTTTATTGTCTTTTCCACTGGAGTTGAAGAGTTCCAATACTTAAAGGAACTGTGTGCTACATTTTAATGTCTATATATGCTGTTGTACACTTCTTCTAAAACAAGTTTTGATAATCAAAACATCTAGAATATATGTTTAGTAATTTTTGAATATTTTTCTTTAAATTATACAAGAATTTTCATCAATTGATATCTTTTCAAAACCCCTGGTAATGCATGCTGATTTTTTGTCTACGAACATCTGATGGCACTATAATCTTAAATTAAGAATATCTTGAAAAATTATCAGTAGGTAAGGTACGTTGCGTATGTCCTTAAGACGTAGCACTTTAAAAGTAGACTTGTCAGTGTGTCACAATGCCCTCGCCGACCAAGGAAGTGAAAATAACAATGGATGAAAATGAAAGAAAAAAGAATATCATATTCCTGCTTTTTTTTTCTTGATGCAGTAGTCGACTGTTGATCTACATGCGAAGAAAAAAAAGAAAGAAAAACAGGGAATAGTTGGAAATTTTCAAAGTCTAAGGCAACTTAACTTTCAC